CATTGTGCGAATAGCCAGCGGCTGCTGAGCACGTGAATGCGGAGAATGGTTTTGTGGAGAATTTAGCTCGTCAAAGTTTTCTCTCATTCAATGCAAAAACAGTCCGCATAAACTCCAAAAGAGCAGGAAAAAGCTTTCTACCGTTGCAGCAGACATCCCTGCAGACGAAGCCGAAGCCGTGAAATTTGTCGCCCCTAGTAAGTTCATGGTTGATTGTGTGTACGCGGTAGCACACGTCGTACTGATTGTCCGACAAGGCTCCACGTTCGCCGGTACCATGACTGCTTGAGGGTTACTTCCTACTACCTGGAGCACAGCCATCCATGCAGTAAGTTTATTTTTGACAGACTCCCCATCAACCGGCGACTGACAAATGATGAATTGAAAGAGTTCACCTGAGATTCGGCAGTACGTCGCCGACCGCTTTGGAAGGGTACTCACTATCGAGGATGTGCGTAACTATCGCGTGAAAAGTCGACCTCCATTGTTAAGAGTCGTTGGTTACCTTTTAGTCGGTTCCTTAGATGACATGCCATCCGTCACAGCCAAGTTTCGACAGTGCGGTCGGGTGCTGCTGGTGGATTCGGACGACGGTGTTCCCTGTGGTCTCTGTGGTCGGCCAACTGACCCTGCTGATTGATGGTGTCAACGTGATCGACTCCCATACCACCGTTATTGCTGCGGCAATGAGCCATGCCCGCTGTGTGGAGAAAATCTTCAGGCGCGTTAACCAGGTGAGTAATAATAATAATAATGTATATTAGTTTCCGGTCAGTCTACTGACCGGCCAGATAAAAGAGCATGCTTTGATGTCGATCTTGATCAGTCCGTGGAGGACAAGCCGAGTCTGCCCCGTAAGACAGTCGCAATCAAACTGTTTTGTCCAATTTCGGAGTTGATGGGGACCGTAATTTGAGGCCCAATTTCTTAGCATACGGCTTGTGGACCTTGCTTTCGAATCCCTTGATGACGAGGAATTCGTGTGATTATAACTTAAATGCCGAATCAATGAATCCGTGGCGGTCCGCAACGACTGTATATTTATCCCTCATCCCGGGAATGGGAATTATGAACCACTAGGTAAGCAAACAACTAAAATTTCATTGCATCCAGATGCTTAAATGCCGTTCCCGAAGATTAATTGCTTGCCCATTTCCCGTTTCAGAATCCTTGTCGTGAATTGGAACTTAAGAAAATGAAAAATTGAGTGACTACCAATTAGGCTTGTATCAGTGATGTTAATGAATAAAATGCAATTCGCCACTGGGGTTTTCGTAGATTCCTGGCGGGCGCATTATCAACGCGTGGAGTTATGAGTATGGAGCGCCCGTCGTTGTCCCTTGTATCACGTTACCGTGCATAGTTGAGGCCTCATAATCTGCGTCGCGAATAGCAGCTACGCTGAGTAGTCGAGGTGAGCGACAGCTCATTGTTTCGGGTAATGGAGGGAGTGGTCGAGGGGGTACAATCAAGAGTAGGAGTTGGGAGCGTGTTATCAAATTGGGTGGTGATTGCAGTTTGACAGGTGATGACCACCGTTGATCTTTGGGTTAGTCTCTTATGTGTTGCCGGGACGTTGTGGTTAACAACGAGCATGTGTACGGGCCTGGCAGTTACTATAGATAGCCACCGTAGGTTACATCGACTACAATTGTGATGTTTACTGAAGGTAGCTAACATAAAAGGCATCGAGTAAGTATGAGTATAACGATAAATAGCCAAGTTAGGTGACTTCGAGCTGTGAGTATAACAGGCTGTCAGATTTTGCTATCACCCATAGTTGAGTCCTTGTTTTTACCGGTCGGCATATGTATTGGATTGATGTTTACTGTAGGTAGCGGAAATAAGCAACATCGCGTATAGTATGAAAGACCGTCAGCTTTATATTCAACGTTGCACATAGACACAGGTCTTGCAATTACGATAAGCAGCCAAGGTAGGCGATATCAACTTCAGTTACGAGCATGACCGGCAGCCGTTGGTTGTTAAGATGTCACGCATAGTTGGAACCTGGTTTCTATCGGCCCGCATAGATACTGGCTTGAGGTTTACTGTAGGTAGAGGGCGGGTACGGCAGTGAAGATCGGTGTTTACCACTGATTTCATGCTCTCCATGATGATATAAGTAGCAGACGTAAGCGAGAGCGCGCACATTTATGGGTATGACGGGCCATCGTTGGCAGTTAAATCAGGACACTTCGCATAGCTGAGGCCTACTATACAGCGTCGCATATAGGCACTGGCCTAGCAGTTTCAATAAGTAGTCAAGGTAGGCGATATCGTGTACAGTTTTGAGTATTAGGTCCATCGTTCGCCATTAGATTAGGTATGTATGCACAAGGACACTGACTCAACATGTACGATCAGCAGCCACGTTAGATGACTTCGAGTACAGTTGTGCGTAATCGTGTACAGAGTATTAGGTCCATCGTTCGCCATTAGATTAGGTATGTATGCACAAGGACACTGACTCAACATGTACGATCAGCAGCCAAGCCACGTGACTTCGAGTACAGTTGTGCGTATAACAGGCTGTCAGATGTGGCTATCACGCATAGCTGAGGCCTTATTTTTACCGGTCGGCATATATATTGCACTGAAGCTTACTGTGGCTAGCGAAGACAAGCGGCATCGCGTATAGTTAAGGGTATAAAAGACCGTCATTGACCATCGGATTATGTTACTGTGCATAGGTGCAGTCCCATTATCAACGTTGCACATAGACGCGGGCCTAGCAGTTACAACAGGTATTCGAGATGAGTGAAAACCAGTAGAGATACGAGCACAAGGGGTCGTCGTTGCTCATTGGATTGGG